CTTTAGTTTGGACGATTTCGATTTGGGACGCACCTCCTTGCTCTCCCACCATATTGATACGGGGGATGCCGCTCCAATTCGGATGAACCTGCATCGGTTGAATCCGACGGAGCGGGATCATGTACGCGGCGCGGTGGAGGATATGCTGGCCGCTGACATTATTTCCCCGTCCAACAGTCCGTGGAGCGCCCCGGTGGTCCTTGTGAAGAAAAAGGATAGGAAATTGCGATTTTGTGTCGATTTTCTCAAGTTAAATAAGGTGTCGGTTGTGGACGCGTACCCCCTGCCGCGTATGGATGATTCCCTCGATGCCTTTTCTGGGGCAAATTTTTTTTCTACTCTAGATCTCTCGTCGGGATTCTGGCAACTTCCCCTGGACGAGTCCTCGAGGGAAAAGACGGCTTTCCGTACGCCGCAGGGCTTGTTTCAGTTTAATTGTCTTCCCATGGGCTTGAACGCCGCCCCGGCGACGTTCCAACGGCTGATGGAGCTCATGTTGACCGGTCTGCAGTGGGCCACGTGTTTGATATATTTAGATGATGTTATCATCTTCAGCCGCACGTTTGAAGAACATCTGCGGAGATTGGACGCGGTGTTTGCTAAGATGCGTTCCGCCAATTTGAAATTTAAGCCCAAAAAGTGTCACCTGTTGCAGCGATCCGTGCGCTATTTGGGCCACATAGTCAGTTCGGACGGGGTGGCCACAGACCCGGAGAAGACAGCATGCGTCCGAAACTGGCCGACTCCGGCCATAGTGGGGGACGTGCGTCGGTTCGTTGGGTTCGCTTCGTATTACCGCAGGTTTGTTCCAAACTTTGCCACGATCGCTAGCCCGTTGCACCTCCTAACGGCGAAGGGCCGGAGGTTCAGCTGGGGACCGACGGAGGAGGCGGCGTTTCAGAACCTACGCGATCGTTTGGCATTGGCGCCGACGCTGGACTATCCAGATTTTACTCGCCCTTTTATTCTGGAAACTGATGCTAGTGACACCGGGATTGGGGCCGTTCTGTCCCAGTCTAAGGGCGGCGTCGAACGCGTGGTGGCTTACAGTAGCCGCGTGTTGTCTCCAGCGGAGACCTGCTACTGCGTTACTCGTCGGGAACTCTTGGCCATAGTGCATTTTCTTCGCCAATATCGGCCGTATCTATACGGCCGTACGTTTATTGTGCGCACGGACCATGCGGCTTTTGCAATATTCCTTGAGGGTTGACCAACCGTCTGGCCAATTGGCATGATGGATGGAAACCCTGCAGGAATTTCACTTGAGATTCAGTATCGTAAAGGATCGCGTCACGCGAACACGGATGCACTCTCCAGATTGCCGCAGGGGTCCCCTTGCGCCTGCGCTTCGGGCACGAATAGGTGCACGTGGGTTCCGCTGCCACCTCGGCCTGTTATGTACGCTGTGGAGGTGCCTGAGGCTCCCGCGTGTCCAGAACCGGCTGATGGGGTTTTGAATCTGCCGCGTTCGGTATGGGTTCGCGAGCAATTGCTCGATGAGTCGCTGGGGGCCTTGCGGGGTCGGGCTGCGAAGGAGAGAGGTGGACCGCTGTCCGATGGGATGCCAGGAGCTGCTCTCCAGGATGGCTTGTTGATGTGGAGGGAAGGGTTGCACGATCGCTGGCGTCTTGTTGTACCGTCGTCGTTGCGATATGAGTTGATTCGGACTCTGCACTCTGAGAAGTTGTTACATCTCGGGGTGCAGAAAACCTTGTTGACGTTACAGCGGGATTATTTTTGGCATGGCATGACGACTGATGTCGTCGGGCACATTCGGGCATGCTCCGACTGTGCCCGACGGAAACCGCCTAAACACCCATATGTTCCACCAGTGCAGTCTATACAGGTGTCACGGATTAATGAGTTGGTGGCGTTGGATATTTTGGGACCCTTTCCGCCGTCCGCTCAGGTGAATACATTTTTGTTGGTTGGGGTGGAATATCTTTCCCGCTGGCCGATGGCCTGGCCCTTAGCCGATCAGTCAGCGGCGTCTATCACGGAGGCGTTCCTGTTCGGATACGTAATGGACAAAGGGGCACCGGAAAGGTTGCTCACGGACCAAGTGCGAAATTTTTCTTCCAAACTGTTGGGCGAGGTATGCGCTGCACTGGGGACCAAGAAGGTTCGGACGTCTTCCTACCATCCGCAAACGGATTGGATGGTTGAACGGCTCAATCGGACCCTGTCGACCATGCTCTGTCATACGGTTAGCGAAAAGCAGGCTGATTGGGATTTGCATATCCCTGGGGTGCTTTCCGCATACTGGATGACGCCACATGCGTCGACGGGGTACTCACCTTTCTTTTTGATGTACGGCCGCGAAAATGTGCTGCCAGTGGACGTACAACTGAGCACGGGGGCGAAGGGTCCTGTCAAGCCTCTCCCTGATTATATTAGGGACACCGTTCATCACGTGGCAGAGGCGCGGGAGGGGGCCCGATTGGCTACGGCCAAGACCCAGGCCCGGAACGAACGTTGTGCACGGTGCTCGCATTGTGAGTCCCCCTGGCGGGTGGGGGACATGGCCTGGTTGCACTACCCACAGGTACCGGTGGGGACCTCCCCTAAGTTGCACAAACCGTGGCAGGGGCCGGTTGTGCTTATTGAGGTTCCTAGTCCGCAGTCCGCGCGTGTTCGGTTCGGATCGCGGCTCTGGTATGTTCATACGTCTCTATTGAAACCATACGTTGCCCCGCGGATGGATGCGTCATCTCCTAATGTTGCCTTGCCAGTGTCTGTCGCGACCGACGTGCCACTGACTTTGCCTGTTCAACCTGCAAGCGCGCCTGTCGTGCCTCCTGTAGACGGACTGGCTGTGATCCTGCCGGACACGGTGATTCCTGCTCCGAGGGGCCTACCACAGCGACTGGGACACTTGGCCCCGCTGCCCCTCCAACCCCGCCGCGGGCACAGTTGCAGGAGGCTCCGACGACGGGCCTCTCTGGGGAACGGGACGCTGGGATTGACAGGCCTCCAACAGCGGCGGGTGGTTCCGGTCCCGCCGCTCCTAAAACCCTGTCAAGATCACGGTCCGTGTGGGGGCCGCCCCCCGTGCGGGACCGGCCGGCGACCCGCACTCGTTCTAAGTCCCTTCCCTTTTGTTAATTGTTGTTGTTCTAATCTCCGTTTGTCTTGTTATTCCTGATTGTCATGTTGTTGCTCGCATTATTGTTGTTCTATTGCAGCCGGGGACGGCTGGCTTTTTCATCAGGGGTGGGGCGCCATGTAATGCGAGCAAGAACAGGGTGGTTGCTGGCCTCCTCGCCACTCACACGGCCCGGAGTATTGGGGGGCGGAGCCTGGTCGGCGGAGCGTGTGGGAGGAGCCACTGCTCACCTCGGCTCCAATGGGAGACGGGGTGAACGGGGGGCGGAGACGGGGGCAGTACGGGAAGGAGGAGTCAGGATCACGTGAGCCGGAAGAGATCGAGAGGTTGGACGAGAGTGAGAATAGGGAGAAAGCCACGCTGGGCAGTGGCGGAGAAGTGGCACCATTTGCCACGTGGTCGGAGACCTACGCGCACCGTCGGCCAGTGGTGTGCGTGCGGTAGCCGGGGCTAGCAGAGGGTGCGGGGCACACGTAGCTAGCGAGTGGCTAGCAGAGTGTGCAGGGGCACACGGAGCAGCGGTGTGGCTGGCGGCGTGTGCGGAGGGGCACACGGAGGAAGCAGAGCGGCCACGGTGTGGGTGAGGGCCACAAGGAGCGTGCGCGGGGCGCACGGCAGAGGCGGCGCGGGTCCGGACGAGGACCAGCGGGGTGCGAGACAGGAACCCAAATAAAGGACGAACGGAGACCTACATCACCTGACCGAGTACTTTATTACACTAGTAATGGCAGAACTCCACGACTCCAGGAAGTGGCCCCGAAGCTTGCCATAATGCAAGGGGACATTGTGATTTACAACCAACGACAGTTGAGCGTGTACAATTAGACCCAAGCCGAAACATAACAAATAAAAAATAATGTTTTACATCTTTTTTATGATAGAATATAGTATTGTCATCAGTATGACATAAGTATACCAAGTTTGCACATTGGGAAGTGAGTTAAAATTGAGTTACAAGATTTGAGAATACAACAACAGACAGACTGAGTTAAATAAAAGCGTGTAATGATAAAATAAGTAATATTTAAAAATACTTTTTTTTAAACACGCTTTAATGAAATGTACCGTACGAGTAATGGCTGAACTCCACGACTCCAGGAAGTGGCCCCGAAGCTTGCCATAGTGTAAGGGACTGTGGTGATTTACAGCCAAGGTGAGTTAAGCGTGGACAATTAGACCCAAGCCGAAACACAAGATATAAAAAAGATTGCTTAAAAATATAGATTTAGTTTTTTTTAATGATAGAATATAGTATTGTCATCAGTATGACATACGTATACCAAGTTTGCAGTCGATACGACATTGGGAAGTGGGTTGAAATTGAGTTACAAGATTTGAGGATACGACAACAGACAGTTGAGGACACAACAGAGTTGAGGATACAACAGACTGAGTGAGTTAAATAAAAAAGCGTGTAAAATAGTCTTAACGGCGAGACCTGCACCCAGCGTCCTGCCGCAGTTCATCTCCTTTGTTTGTGTAGCATCAGCATCTGTTTGCACAGCGGATTAAGGCTGATTTACCGGAGGGGAGGTGTGCATATTCATACGAATATTTTTTATCGCTCGCCTTTGTGTGTGTGCAATGAGCGCCTGCACGTGTTCGCGCATGCACGCTGCCACCTCCACATGAGTGATGGTGTACGTGGGAGTGTGTGGGATAACTCCGGGCGGTGGTGAGCCAGCCAGCGAGCCATGTCCCTCAGAGAGGGCGCTGGTCTGGGGGGGGGGGGCGATCGGCGGGGGCCTGGCGAGAGGCGGCCGACGAGGAGGAGGGGGGAGTGGAGGGGGTGGGCGCCGCGCCCGCCCGCTCTCGGGGAGCAAGGAGGTGGGCGTCAGCCCCCACAGTTGCTGCTCGCTAACAGCACTTGCCCCAAAAGTCTGTTAAGGCTACACGGGGGATATTTGTTCGTGTTCGAAAGGGGCATTAGGGTGAGGAGGAACGTGGCACTTCCCCTGAGACTGCAGGGCACGCGGAGTCGGCTGAAGTGACGTGCGTTTGAGTGTAAGTGTAACGCGCACATTCACTAGTCTGTGTTTTATATCGGGGATGAATCAACCTTTACATACATTCTAAATCAACACTTTTGTCAATAGCGCTGTGACCTTAAAATAAACAAATATACTCAAAAGGTCACGTTTTCGGGAAATAGCCCCTTTATATCACGAATACAGAGGCCAGAGACATAGTGTATACTAATAATAATAGGGGTCGGAGGCTAACACCAAGTATGCTTGATGATAAATCAAATGTAATATATTTCCTGTTGGGCAGTGTCTGTGTTTTGATGAATATTCGCTTTGTTTGTAATTTTGGCACGACTGCGTCAGCATCGGCAGATGGGATTTATGTATGTATTAATTTTATCACACGGAGCCTTTTCGCAATAGAATCGCTTAGAAGTACTGCGACAGACAAAACAATGTCAACACGGAAAAAGACAACCTGGCAGTGAGTGTACAAAACAATCTTAACTCTGACAAGTGAACAGAAGATGATTATATTAGAAGTTTTTTTTCGGTCCGATCACGTAAATATAAATGTGTCGTTAAACCCACCACTACCCAACAAAGTCAATTAGTAAGGTTTGTCACGTAAACCGAACATGCCAATTCGTTACGAATACAGCACACCGGTGTGTTGGAGAGCAAATCCACAACTTTTACAAGCCGAGTACGACGTTTCACTAGTAATTACAACCAGCACCATCAGGCGGACAACCCGATTTTTGGATAAATCCTCCTGTTTCGTTCCTTAAATGGATGGATAGATGTGATGAAGTCACTTGTGAGCCCTTCACGTGAGAAGGGGCAGGGGGGCTTAATGGATGTATCTACATTACAATGGGTATATATTTCGTGGTAAATAGAAGACGATTACTTATCAATATGAATATCAATGATTTGTTTGCTATGAATACAGCAATTATTAAAATAGGAAAGAGCAATATTCTGAGAGGACTCTACAATAAGACAATGCGTACGTTAGTACATCACAGACAATCAGTGGTAGGGTGTGAAAAAAACCTGATGTATTCAAAAGGATATATGGATATATTGGCGGTACACAAGTGCAGCACGATACACCGGTTCTCATAAAACAGTCTGAAAAAAAAAATTAATCAGCACATCTGAATCAATGAATCAGCACATTTATGAATGAATCAGCACATTTATCAGTCTTTAATTAACCATGTCGACAAGTTTGACGCGATTTTAAGGTTTATTCATGCAACGTTCGTCTTCCGAATGATGCGTTGAACTGGTTTTGACGCACCACCACCCCGCGAGATGTTTTATATACCACGGACCACCGATGTACCGCCAATAAGGTCATATTATATTTTAAGTTTTCGTGACTGCAGGGATCCATACATTTGGTTATTTCGGTAAAGTCACGTAGGTATCAACGGTCAACACACAATTGATGCATGGACTGGTTGATTACATTCTTTCAAAGATTGCTAAATTAGAAGTTAAGTGGAAAATTTGAAAGAGAGACATGCTACTTTCTCTACCCCCCTCTCCCCCCCCCTATTTAAGGACCCGACACAGAGGTGTTGTTTTTCTGTGTACCTATGTGTTTGTCTCTCTCTCTGTCTCTGTGTTATCTCTCTCTGCTTACGTGTCTGTCTATGTGTCTCCAGTTCTGTGTTTAATCTCTTTCTTAAATTTAGCAATCTTTGGAAGAACGTAATCAACCAGGTAGGGTGCTGAATGTTATGTTAGCCGACTATCTGTGTTGTATTGCATTATAATTCTAAGTTTACTAGGTTTTGTTTTCTCTTTCATTTGTACCTGATGATGATTGCTTGTGTTGCAATCGAAACGTCGTATGCTATTATTTAATTTATTACTTTATCTTTCTACGTGACTTTACCGAAAGAACCAAACAGTAATTCCTGCAGTCACGAAAACGCCAAATCAAGTTTGTAGGAGAATGTACTTTACACCATGGGGCCTGTTAAAAATTTACATTTTGCAATGTTTGCCGATTAACCCTGTTTACACTGGATATGAGTACGTGTGCAAAATTTGTAATTCATTGGACAACAGGAGTAGACTAAATTTTTGTATATAAGATTTGACCACGACAAACATAGGAGTCAAGTTAAGTAAAACCGTTGAATAAAGACAAAAAGTACAAATAAAAAACAAGGTCATGAGGTGAGGTTGGAAACCCCAAGAGGACTATATGAAATCCACACTAAAAAGAACAATATATATAAAAAACTGATTGTTCAATCAATTAAACAAAGCATACTAATTACATTTAAACATGTTAAACTCAGCGTAAAAAAATACATGCTTGTTTTTTGTGTGCGCATGTGTGCTTATGTGTGTGAGTGTGTGTGAGTTAGGCTTCAATTATTATCCAAGCCATCTAGCACAGCACAACACATCGCTCTGCTGGACGTATACGTGTAGACGGGCGTATACTGAGGGAGCTGTGGCGCAGCGGCTAGCACAGAATCCTACATAGCCATCTATATGAGTTCGATTCCAGGTCAGAGTTGCTAATACCATTGGCAAGTGGCATCAGAACTGCGTCGAGTCAATCTCTCCATATGAACTCAGCACTGACCAGAATTTAAACTAATAAGCAGCATATTCTTGGTTTTTTCGGTAAAGTCACGTAGAAGGGAAGTAATAAAATAATAAAAATAAAACATAATAAAATAATTCTCACGACGTTTCGGCTACAACGCAAGCAGCCGTCTTCCGGTGAAGAATGAGACACTGCCAAGCTAGGAGCTTATATATAAGCTGAGTTGGAGGTGGAAGAAGAGCGCCTTAACAAAAGAATGTGCATATCAAGAGGAATTTAGCATATTCATGGTAAATGCGTAGGAGGTGGGCGGGGGGGTTTCAAAGTCATATTATGCCCATGCATTATGCAGGATCAGCAGCACCAAAGGGAGGGGCAGGGGTAGCATTAACAAAGGGAGGGAATGTTAATAGTATGTAGAAGCAATGAAACATGTGAATGGGAGAACGGTGGCAGGAGACCCGCAGCGGAGCAAATAATGCATTCCCTGTGGAGAATACAAGATACACAGTTAATGCCAGTGAGTGTACTGCGGTCTGAAAGTCACCGTAAACGTGAACAACAATCAGTTAAGATACGAAATGGTTTATTACGTCCTTCCAATGATTGCTGAGTCAGAATCCATCTTCTCGGTTGAAATTGTCTCTGTGTTTGTATATGTGGATCGCCTCATGAACGAATCTCTCATGGTAGCCAGATGGCTTGCAGAGAACCTCTGTCTTGGAGAAGTCAAAGTCATGTGAGCCCACTGAATTGTAACAGTGATCGGAGATAACTCGGAGTTAAGTTTTGTTTGTTTTGTTGAATTACACAAAGCGTAACAGTTATGTATATAACTTATGTTATATAAAATTCCTAGTAAGATATTAATTGTGTGATGTAGTCATACCCCTCCCCCTCATTCAAGCCGTAATTTAGAGAGCCAAAGCGCCGAGTACATAAATCGCTAACATAAGAACCCGTTAATCTCTTCTCGCATCATTCATACGATGATGCGGTGAAGTAAATGTTCATACGATATTACAGTGAACGCTTCCAAAAACAATACTGTACCCAAATATTACTGTTAACTTACTTTCAATAGAAACATGAATTGCTCATACGAATATTCTCTCTCTCTCCCGGTCAAAGTGTGCCATCTAATGAGGAAATGGGGGCATTACAGGAGGAAGGTAAAATTTAATTTAATAATAATATTTGGACAAGTTCGGCGGTCCGGAATAAAAAGCCCAACGTCTGGTCTAGTGGGTCCATTCCACCCGAGCGGTGTCAATATCGTGGCCCAGGGCCTCCGACGTCCCATCGGAGGTTATTTTGCAGGGTTACCACTTGGAAGACTTGGAAGAAGTCGCCACACAAATTTTCCAAGGCACTCGCGGCTGGAATGCCGCGCGTGATGCATCCTCTTTCGGGAGGGTGGGTTGTGTAATCCGTCAGCATGTTTCAAGGAAAAATAGGTTGTTCAGTCCTGGTTAACACTTGCATTTCTATTTTTGACTTAAAACTTTTGTGACTGCAGGAATTCATATTATATGGTTATTTCGGTAAAGTCACGTAGATAGAAAAAATAATAATAAAATAATAAAAATAAAGTGAATAAAAATATCACGACATTTCGATCACAACACAAGCGGTCGTCATCAGGAACAGGGAGGTTAGAGATGGGCGGGGCAGCTAATATTAATTTAGGAGAAAGCTCCGACACCGACAGTAGGTCTACACCAATCAAATAGCTGTTTATAAAGGTTTAGAGATAGGTAGAGCAGCTAATGTTATTGTAGGAGAAAGATCCGACACAGGCAGTAGGTCTACACCAATCAGAGCATTGCACCTCGCTTCACGCACCCATACTGCTAACAGTGGAAGTAGACAAGAAAACACAAATCAAGTCATGGCCCAAAGTGGTTGATGACATATTTCCAATGATTGCTGAGTCTATAACCTTCCTCTCGGTTGAAAGTGTCTCTGTGTCTGTATATATGGATGGCTTCATGAATGAATCTTTGTTGATAGCCAGTAGGCTTGCAAAGAATGATCGTCTTAGAGAAATCAATTTCGCGTGAGCCAGCTGTATTAAAATAATGATCAGCCACGGGAGAAGTATTGGTCCTACCATGTTTCAAATCTGTCTTATGTTCACGGACACGGTCCGAGACATGTTGCTTAGTTGTATTTCTAGTCTATAAGACTCTCCACTGTTCTCCCACCCATGCATCCATCAATCCTCACGGCCAGCACCTTCTCAATCTCTAAGAGAGTTTTCTCAAGCGTTCATCCCATAATTGGGTAGGTGTTATGCATTGGTTTATTGTTAATATCACGTTTCAGGGAATCTGCTCTACCTACAATATAACGTGTCACATGTATATCTTCCCTACCTCTCTCCACAAGGTTATTATGTTAGCAGAGACAGTGTATTAGAGGTCCTGTGACTTTTCCACCACTTTCAAGTGTCC